TCGGCATGATTTGCTCGGCATCGACAACGCGGGTCCCGCACTGGACAGTAGCCCGACACGCGAAGCACATCAGCGCCCCGATCCGATCACGGCAATCGCTGCAGCACAGACAATGTCCGCCCCCCCCCCCCCCCCACCCCACAAGCGAGGCGCGAAAAGCGCGTCCTTCTTGTCCGCGGAGGCGAGCTCATCGCCAACATCCCCAGTGGGCAGGCGGCGCATCTCGCAATTGTGCATCACGGAATCAACGCAAGCCGAACCTAGCTCGGGGTAGACCAGCAGGGCTGTGAACCGTCGGTCGCAGCCCAACGTCCACGATGCCCGCGCATGTTGTGTACCACACACAGTAAGCCGCATTACTTGGTGGATAGCATTCCACTCAGGGCGGAAAAGGGTCGCCTGAGTGCCGTCATGCTGCATCCAGGCATCCTGGTTCTCACAGAGACGAGGCTGGAACGTAACCACATACATGTCGGACAACGGATGCGGGTCATCGGGTCCGAAGACTCTGGCATCCAAATCCTGGCCAGCCACTGCTCTCGCCCATCGACCCAGTCTACGCCACCTTGGCACCTCTCCGTTTGTTTCGCCGTTCCCGCCAATCTGAATATTCTCGACCACCGTCCGTGCTCCGTAAGCTCCCCACTCGCCGCTCTTTACAACTGGTTCGTCGAGTGCGGCATACGGCCCACTGTTAGTCGGAAGACAAATAATGGACCGATACTGTCGGATGCCCTGGAGGTCGTTCTTCGGTGCCTCGAGGTGCCGGTCATAGACCGCTTCATGGCAGCGCCACCCAGAGGAATGACAACAGCCTGATGGGAGTATCTCGCAGCCGCTTCGCACCTGGCGCACATGCGTTTCGGATCTATAACCCGAACGGAATGGCCCTTACAGGCCCGAAACAACAACGGCACTCTAGCCATAGGCGGCAAGATAGGGGCCCCCGTGTCGGCGACGTCCTCCTCGATTGGAGCGCACCCAAAGCTGTCCTCCCAGTCGTCAGGCTCGGCGGTCGGACCCGTGTCCGCGTTCGCCATATTCACGGCGAGGACCTGAACCGCGTTCGGAGGCAGTTGTGCGAGGGCAGGCATGAAGCGCGCTCACACCCCGTCGCATCCCTCATTGTTCAGCATCTCGACGACGACGCGCGCTTCAATCCACCCCCCTGCGCTGCGGACGTGGGCCGCGCTATGCATCGCCAAGTTGACAATGAGCGAGCCTAGGCGCCCAGCTTCCTCCACGTCCATTCCCGAGCACCACGCAAGTGAGAGTCGCTCACTGAATAATACCATCGGGATTAGGCGGGGCTCGGGGGACGGGAGACAGCGGGTTTCGACTGCGTCGAAGCGGGCACGCAGAAAACGTCGAGATGTTGTGCCATCTTCAGCAGTCAAAGGAACTCAAATAATGGGTCAACGACTAGGCCACGCGCCCACTCGAGGTTCCTTTTCTCCTATCCCTTGCCTCTCTTTTCACGTTATCCGAAAGATTGTGGGCCAGTGTCGCGGTATTATCCAAGCCTCCGCGCCAGCTCGATGGGGGGACACATAGTGCCCCGTCGTCCCCACCCTCGATGAGCGATGCGCTGATCTCGCCCTTTTCCGCGTGTTCAAGCCCAATATGAGCTGTCTCTCCTCAAACCCTCTCTCTCTGCTTGTACGCGCCGATTGAGATCTCTTCACTCTTGGGAGGCACAGGAACCCCAGTGAGACAGAAGTACTTCGACATGAAAGCGCGAGGGAGCTCGTCAGAGAGCACGCCCAAGGAAATCAGTTCAGGCGGGCTTTTGCGGCGAGGTATAACCTCGACCAGCTTTTCCGCA